ATGAAGTAATAACATTGTCTATTGCATATTAACTTTGACAGAGATATAGACTTTCTACAATGCACAAAAATCATACCAAATCACTAATTTCCTAATATTGCAAGTGCAAAATCTCCAAACTAATTTCAATTATCTTAAGACAAATCTGATTTGGAAATTCAAATTGCAATTAGTCAATTATCTAAATTTGCATACTGAAACTATTATGTTACAGTATATTAATGCAAGATCATTATTTTGTACAAAAGTCATAATGATAATACAGGAATAATCAATTTCACTAATTCACAAAAAAAAGACACTCATTTTTTTAAATTTATTGATAGATTGCTTTAACATTTAGTTTGTTTTGAATTTTTCAATTCATGGTACACTGAATCCGCACTGATCGAAACGCACTAGGCGAGATATTGCTGTACATATAGCAATACCTCGCCTAATATAATTGAACATTTATTTATTAATATCCGTATAAATTGTTAAGAAAATAGCAAGGAATGGTTTCTATCACAAACTAAACAAAAGTAAGTTATTTTTTCATTTATTAAAACAATTACTTATTATATAAAACAGTAAATATTGCTGAAATGTTCACAATAATAGCTTATACCAAACAATTCAAACGTTAACGGACAAATTAGTATTCAACTAAATATTCAGATATTCAATACAGCCTTATGAACCACCCATTCTATTGTAGTATCAAAGATCCTGTCCGATACAAACTTAGTCGTATTCACGAGATTAAGTATTATTAGTTGTGGTTCTGTTTGCATTCTCATCGTCCTCCGTTTGGAGTTTTCGTCCCTAGGCATTAACTTTGACGCGTAGCTCCTGAATTCTCAATCCATCGAAGATCTACATGAATTTGTGTTTTAGTTCGAGCTATGCATATTTCATGAAGAACTTTTCCGATTCTGTTATTGAATATTAATATTCCTTTTGTATATTTCTTTAATATTTATATATATTAATGACTATATAAATAATACATTCATATCTGAAAGTTTATAAATCTGAATGTTAAAAAATAAACAGTTTCTACGAAATTATTAAAACAATACTTTGTGTACGGTAGAATTTAAAAAACAATGTTCTCTGGAAGCGGGAAATTTAAAAAGATGTGAATTTTGAAAAAAAAAACTAAGAAATTTTATAAAATAAAAAATAGCTGCCAATTTATTTATTTTTAATATTATTATTGCAAATACAGTATTCTTTGCATTATTCACTATAATACGTTTTGAAAATATCTAAATTTTAATTCAACAAAAATAAAAATAGATGCTAAAAAATAATATATTTTTTATATATACATGATCACATTTTTGTTGTTAATACAGTCAATAATCTTTTTGTTGTTTATTTTTATACGGTTTTACAGTCCTCGATTAGTACGGTTTCAAATAGTGCAAGATATACGTATAACGTGGGTAATGTGTTCCGAAATATCAAAATCGTTTAATATATTTAAAATAATGTAAGATTTACTGAAATGTTTGAGGAAAATATTTAAAAATGAGTTTATTAACTTAATTAATGCATGTATATTTTTACAATCATTATTTTATATAAAAATTGTGAAATATACATTTTTTTGTTAACAAAAATCTGTAAATCATACAAATTCAATAGTATACAGCTATATCGCTTAAAATTAAATTAATTTGCTATAAATTCTCAAATTAATATCAATGGATATTGCGAGATGCAGGTGGATGTAGTTTGGACATTCAGAACTTCGTATAATATAGCCCACCATTCTAATTCAGCTAACATTAATAGCGAATTCAGCTAATTCATTCGAGCTTTCCGCATTATTGGAGTTCTATATCTGTTACAGGTTTGAAACTTGACAGGAAAATACGTTCAATGATAGAGAGATAGAGATACTAATAATTATTATCAATAAATACAAGGTCTCCCAGAACTGTTTGAATTATTATGATTTCATTTTTTTTCACATATAATTAATATTTAAATTGCAACAGAATCTATATAAAATATATAACTTTTCTCTCTACTACAAATGTTTAAAATTATTACCATTCTGATAACTTTTTGCTATTGATTCATAAACTTCAGCAAACATTTCATTCGGTATTGTAGCCCATTCTTACTCAATGTATGCTTTTAATCTTACCAGTGTTGTCAGTTTTCTGGCTTAGATTTTATAATTAAGATATCTCCACTAGAAAAAGTCTAGCCAGGTCTGGAGAACAGGCAGGGTATTTCATAGAACAGGATGCACTGTTCACATTTTTAAAAGTACCATTTGCAAAATTGTTTTCTTCGATCCGGATCATCTTCGTTGATGATGGTACTTGCTCATCATTGGAATGTTCCTTTTTCATTTACAACGATGGACATCTAATTTTGAATGTTTCGCAATAAATTTCTAGAACTCTTTATTAGCTGGTGAAGCTCGTTGATGTTCTTGATCTTCCAGAACGTTGCCTATGAACATCTTGAACAGTTCCATTTCTTTCAAAGTTATCTTTTATTCGATTCAGTCTGTCTGAAACTCTGAAACTATTTTCTTTGTACTTCTGCTACATTTTCATACTTCCAAAAACATTTTAAAATAAATTTTCATTTTTCAAAAGTTAATTTCTTCCAAAAAAAGAAAAATGAAAAAGTTATAAAAAATTAAACAGTGTATATGATAATTTTCATATATATTAAATAAATTAAAAAATACAAATATTGAAGAACTTTCAATTAATTCGGTCGAAATGAATCGATAAAGATTTTCATATAAATATAACTTTTTGATGAAAGTTTTCCTATTCAAGAATAAACGACTATTGATATCTATACATTTGCACAATGATTATTTAATGATACAATATTAATTAAAATTACAATTCAACATTATGAAATAATTAAATAATGGATAACATATAGATTGGAAATCAGAATTTCATTTGTTGATAAAACATTGCTTTTTGATGGGAAAAATACCGTTCAAGCGAAGCAAAACTAGATGTTATTTATTCTCGGAAAACGGATTAAATATTGGAGAAAAAATCGTTTAGGAAATAATGTTTATATTCAGAATAGAAGATATTTAATAAAGTAGATAAATTGAAAAAAAAGTAAATAATAATTATTTTTGTATAGAAAAAAAGGGATTTTACGTATTATATCTCAAGAATATATTATTTAAAAATGATCTTTTTCTTACATATTGTTTTTTTCTTATTGCATTGTATTTGAACTGGATATTACTATTATGATAAAATTAATATATTGCTTTTGTAATATAAGCAACAAAGTTAAATGTGGCTGCAACGGGTTTAAACAGATCTATCTGCTTGTAGGAGATAATGAACAGGAAACTTTGTAACTGGTATACACTTTCCTAAATAAATCTCTCAACCGGCGACTCCACAAAGCTTATAGAGTTTGTGCCAAACACGACCAAAACTAATAAAAACAAACTGCTTACACGCTCACTGCGATTTGATACACTTCAAGTATTACAGATTAATGTCATTTATTCCAGATTTTCTATCAAGTAAAATATCATATACATATTCAATATTATTATCATTTTCTGTAATTATCTTCGATTAAAATAATTGTTTTTATTTAAAATACTTTTTTTAAGGCATAACATTTTTTTTTTTTAATAAATTTAACAAAAATAAATACTTACATCTTGTTGTATATACAGTGGAATCTCGCCTAACAAACGTAACCCGCTCCAGAATCTTACTCGTTAGGCAAAACGGTAATGTGAAACATCACTTAAGTAGAGTTTTTTTTTAAAGTTTTACATTACTGAATTCAATGTTCGCCTAATTTTTAAACTGTAATTAGAAATAACAATAAACACATTTAAATTATATATAATAAAAGTAACTGACAAAATATATTATGTACTTAAAGAATTACTTAACCAAAAAGTTATTAGCATAGTTTTATTTTGCTTTAAAATATTTTTTAACAAATCCACTATAAAAATAATAAATAAATGCCAAATAGTAGCATTTTATATTATGAAATTGAAGTGCAGTGAACGTAACTTGTATCGACAACGCAAAAAATGTAAATTGAATATGAGATCGTGGAGTTATTCATACATTTCGCGGTGAATATGAAAACGAAAATCAATTTACAGTGGATGCGCCGGGTTTTTGTTCGTAACGTGCATAATTTAAATAAATGAATCATTTACATCGTGCAATTCCTCGTAAATTTCCATTTTTCTATCGCTTTTGGCAAACATTTAAATACAATGTTTACGTGCTTTTATTGCAATCCAGTGGAAGTCATTTTTCATTTTGTTTTATTGGGAAACAATTAGAACATTTATGATTATATTGTGTAATAATTATTATAATTATGATTTACTCTTCATTTCTTTATGCTTTTGCTATTTTTTAATTATTTTAAATTATTAAACTTGTATTAATCCATAATAGGTTATTATTAATAACCGTTTTGCACATACTACTATATATGAAAAAAATTAGCTGTAATTTAGAAAATCTCAGAAATATTCTAATCATTAGAACATTAATGTTAATATTTATCAGGATTTTTTACTGCGGTTGTGAAATAGGTGAAACAGAACATTAGTTTATCAAAACTTACAAATCTTTTGCGAAAGTATTGGTTAAGCGATTTCTTCCAAGTCCGAACTGTATTTAGAACCATCCGTTAGACATTGTATTTTAGTATGGACAATTATTCCTTGTAACGTAATTTTATACGTTACTACGGACATTTGTTCGAAATTACAAACTTCGATCAGTATAATATTGTAATGACATGAATATTAAATTGGTAATAATAATCTTGACATAATGACATTTAATTACTACTATAAACTATCATCTGATATAATTGAACTGATGAGAAATACTCAATCTGAATGCTGCATTTAGAAATATCTATTGGACCGTTAGACATTGTATTTTAGTATTGACATGTATTCGATAGTACGTATTTTTATACGTTACTACGTACAGTTGTTCCCTATTACATTCATAATGATATTTAATTACTACTATAAACTATCATCTGATATATATAATATTTGTATTAAATTATATGTATCATCATTGTATTCTTTATTTTCAGATGGGGTTTCTGGTGGCTGGTGTATTCCTCTAGTAACACCAAGCAGTCTGCTATTATCAGCAAGAGGTCGTGTCCGTTTCGCACAGAATTTCAACGGAACATCTGTTCCTCCGGCGCATTTATCTGGATACTTGGCTCCCGAATACAGACCGGGGAAGAAATGCTCGGATACAGAGGCGGAGAAGGTATATTTTTATATATATCTTTTTTTGTTATGTGTTTTGCTATTGCTGTTGCCTTTCCTTTCATCGCTGTAAAAAGAAAATTAAGAGAAAGTTCAGCGAGAGCATATAAGTGCAGTTCATTTTTCAACGCTCGACGGGACTTGTTGCTCTCTCATCTTACTCCCCACTGAGATTGAACTGTATTATAAGACAACATAAAGCGGAAAAATAAAAACAGGATGCGATCATTTTGATCCTTGAGAATCTCAGCGTGGGATAAGAAGTAATATCAATTTATAGTGTTTTCGGCAAACTGGATTTATTAAATATTCATAAATAATTATAATTACAGAAACACCTCGCATAGTACGTGTAATCGGTTCCAATAATATCTCGAACTATTTAAAAACACACTAAAAAAATAAACCTTTGACTGTAAAATGAAAAAAAAAACGATAATTTATGTATCAAAAATAGATTTCTATACTATTTGTCCTATTTGATCGGTTAACGAACATAATCTGTGAAAAGACCAATTGTCCGTTAATCCATTTAATATCTCTATCCCAAAGGTAACGTCAATCGATTGGTGAAGTATTGATTATAAGAACATGAGTTTGTCCAAACATACAAATCTTTTGCGTTTGTTAAGCGATTTGTTCCAAATCCGATCTGGTTGTTAAGCGAATACTCACTGTATTTTTATTTTAATCAATCAATATTTAGTTTCTTTTAAAACATTTAAATCGAAATATTTTGAATCAAGACTAAAATCGAATAAAAAGTAAAAAACATAGATTACATTTCCAAACAATTAACAACAGTCTAACAGAAATATAATAATATTAAAATTTTATTTAATACAAAATGCATGCAATTTTAAATTACCTATATTGAAAAATATTTTATTCAATATAGTTATTTATATCCATATTATCAATAATATTATGTTCAGTTATATTTTTTCTAATTAAAATCAAGTTTATAATAAAACGTATATATTTATAGTGATTTTAAACTAAAAATATATTCTCAGATGCGAATTTTAATAATTAAAGAATATATTATAATATTAATATTTTTACAATAATTCCATTTAATACTCTAAAATCGAATTATCTGTTACTATCTTCACTGTAATTTTTAATAGTAAAATTAATGAAGAAAAATATTTTTGAAAGATAATTGATGTTGAAACTGTTAGAAGAAAATCCAATTATCTTTAATAAGTTTTTGAAACTAGTCATATAAACGAATTGAATATTACTCTGTTTATAACCGTTTACACTGCTAATATTCAACACATTTTTTGTAGTTATTTAAAAAAAGAACCTACTCATTTAAATTGATAACAAAATCACATAGTTATGTCGAATGGTAAAAAAAGTTGCGTCATATTTTTCTATATTTAAATCATGGAAATCTTTAACAATGTATTCTTGTAAAGAAAAAATCGATTAAAAAAATAGTTGGTTTAAGCTTACAAATTTAACGTAGAAATCGAAGGATTACCATAGGATTACAAAATAGTGTTGATATGAATAGCAAGTATTTTTTGTTCTTGTAAATTGAAATTCATTATATGGGGATTTCATGTAAAGTCTATTGTATTAATTAATTTTGGTTCGATAAAGTCCATTTAGTCCCAATGGAAATGAAATAGAAGAACAGGAAGGAATATAGTAGCAGAGGGCGCTGTGCAGCGAATGGAAAGGCAATGAAAATGAAAATAGGAAGTGAGCGAGATTGGAGAGTAAATTGGAGCGGTTTTCATTTAGTTGCTGTGCGGTTCTCGTCGGGGCAAATAAAATTATCATTTTAATTAAGTTTAATTGTGGCGTAATGTCGTAGCCCATTCAAATTGGGACTGGAAGTGCTAATATTCAAATGTTGCGCTGTAACTTAAGCAGTAATTGTTTTTTGCGGTGAAAATCCGTGTTCAATTCTACTTTTGTGCATTAACTTTTTTTCTTTTGCTTGATTGTTTTCGCCTTTTTTTTTGTTATAGATGTGGATCTTTGGTTTGGGCGAAGCTCTGAAGAGAGCGACGCTAACGAGCCACGCAGCCACCTCACGTATAAGTGGAGAGCTTTGCCAGGTCTTGGTGGACACGACCCGGCCTCATGCCGCCTCCAGGGCCTCCCTCATGCATCTACTCGACGTAAGTTTAATGCTTTAACGATTCACCCCTAAATGCCCAAACACAAACACCGATCCCAATTAGAATGAATATCGTCGTCGTCATTAAAGAAAATGATGAATGAACTTTGCTTTTGCACATTTATCTCGCTTTAGAACCTTTCATGATTTCTGTGTTTTGTGATTCCTAATGAAAAGCGAAAAATATTCTTTATAATTAAAAACTTAACAAAAATATTGAAATAAAATAATTTCTTATAATTTTATAATTGACGTTCCGCATTTCCATATCATTCAAATTCAAAAATAAAATTATTCAACAAATCTACACATCTACCATTTCTACCACATCTACTATTTGGAACATTTTGAACATTTCTACCACATCTATTGTAGAAAAGTTGCAAATTATTGATTGATTTGCATAAAAAAACACATGTGATTTTAGATTTGTAGTACTTTTTTAATATAATAATAATAATAATATTTATTGAAACAGAAACTTACAAAAAAAAAACTCAATACGATAATATAAATATCATAAATCGAAAAAAAGTCAGCTGCTGCAAAGGGCTTTTTGCCCTACTTTTTTTTTATTTTATAATTACAATTTCTTTATTTTTGTCTGTTGGAAATAAAGTCACAGTCAAAATTTCGAATTTAACTACATTTATTTTTATGAAAGTCAAACATGAAGCCAAGTGAAGTGTGGAGAGGAAGGAAGAAGAAGAAGAAGACATCAACTGTCTTTTAAATACCTGGGTCTCATTTAAATATAAACACATGCATGTATAACGTTTTCATTTACCAAGTATATTTACTTTATGGCATCAGTTTAATGAAATTTTGCCACTTTTAATTTAAAAGTTGATGATTAAAAACAATATATAATAGTCCACATATAATCAACATAAAATGTGTATCGAAATGTGATTACAACTATATATTATTGTATAAGTTTACATTTAACTATAAGAGAGTAATACTTTTAAACATCATGCGTAATGTATAAATATTATGTACAGCATATTTTCATTAATGGAAGCACAATGCGTTGCGTTATTATTTTCATTTCTGCGCTGCCGTTCTATTCATTCCCAACAATAAAGTGATCATACAGAGAAACTTTTTAATTTTCACGTCTACCATACATTACTTACAAAATGCACTGTAGGAATAAAAAATGTTGCAGAAGCTATATTTTTTCAGTCATGTACATGTTTAATTCTTCAAAAAACAATATGTTAATTAATTAAAAATTTGAATTTACGTAATAATGTTTTTTAATAGAATCACTTATCTAAAAGTCGCGAGTAGGGTCCTATCAGCTCTTATAGTTTGTTATAGACCACAATAAAAATAAGGTTAGCAGGTCTAAATATGTCCGTTTCGATTTCCGATTAGTAAATATGAAATATTGTACAGTTTGCAATATTCGTGAAATTTTTAGTCGAAATAATCCAAATGAGTCCTCAAAACGAAGATTAATTTAAAAAAATGAGGAAATTGGTTTGATTCTGAACAATGTCATTCCTTGTATGGGCATTCACTCGAAAATTTTGCAAAACAACAGTAACATTTGAAGAAGCACCTTCCAGCGACATACACAACATCCAACTGACAACTGACACCAACATACTAATCGCAACATTTGTACTTTATAACGAACTAAAAATATTATCACTTTTCAAATAAATAATGTGTCTAATTCAAAAATGAAATCCGGCGATCTTTTTGGAATAGCATCTATGATTTTTTCAATATTTTCTTTATCAATTTGTTTTAAAAATTATAATATGGTATAACTGAAGTATAAATAAAAATTGGATAGTTACAAGCATCGTATCTAAAATCTGATAATGGTTTGTACAAATTCCTGCTGACGTTCGCGGAAATGGAACGACCAAATGATGATATTGTTAGGACGGTTAAATGTTGGATTTTCTCTGATAAATTGTTTTATGTGGGTTGCTCATGGTCCAAAATAATTTCCGTTAACCCAAATCCATGCACACTCGTATCCATTTCACACACACACACTTGTTTAACAGCGTACATTAGATTCACATACACATTCTTGCATTACCACGGACGCAGATGGCCATCCGCAATTAATTAATGCCCGTTGAAGGTGTCCAATTACTCTTGAATTTATCGCGTCGATTTTCCCCGTTTTTGGCATAAATTATTCGCCGCATTGAAAATTATCAACAATACAATACGTTCGATAAATCTGTAAATGGTAATAATAATAATAATAACTGTAGTACTGTGGCCTCTTGCAACAAGTTATCCTGGCTACAACCTCCGATTCAACTTTGGCGAAGAGCGAGTGGGAGAGATGAAGGGAGATTGGGTGGCGGCAGTTTTCGAAATGGCCATAAATCGCAACACGCCCTTACCAACCGCCTCCACCGTGGGGGGCAGAAAATCAATACCGTAATCCACCGCCAACTTTCTTGTCAAGCCTTAATCACTTTTGACATTCCGAACTATGTCTAATATAAATGCGTATGAATTGTTCCAAAATAATCGTCGACAAACTTCTCCGGAGACTTCAAACCATTACGTCCCCAAAGTTTAGTGTTACGCAAATTTTCCTGCAGCTTTAATTAAATTCTAATTAATTGAACGGAACAAGATCACTTTAAGAAGTAATAAGTATTTCGAGAAGTTTCGCGAAACTATTTTCGCTAACGATCAGCAGTTTACGTCCGCACTCTATATAATGAACACATTTCACACAGTATGGCGTTTCGTTTTGTTAAATCCTTATACGCGTCAAATTGAATTATCAGCAGTAATAATATCCGCTAATACTTGGTGTCTGCAACTTTTGAACTGTTGCGGAATAGTTTTAGAGGATGGAGCTCTCTGCCGCAGCTGCTAAGCCGCTTAAAACAAATTTTGGACGGTTTAAAGGTTTACATTTTGTGTCAATTACATTTAAGCTTAAGTCATGATATCGTCAACAATTCGGGGATTTTCATTAACTTTGCATTGGAAATCGATAGATTCCCTTGATTGGAGTGAGGTCGACGAAGACAATGCTTTCTGCAGCGAAGTTTCCTCTAATCGATAACTTTGGAAAGTCTTTCCTCCAGTAATTTGCTACACAGTTTGATTAATATGCAGAGAATGCATCGATTTTCTTATTACATTTTAATGATGTATCACAAAGATGCATTTTATTATTACAAAAATTAATTAAAAACGTATAATCAATTTGAAAACTGATATATTCAAGTAAAACATAACTAAATACAATTATATTTTCAATATTCTATCATTAATTTAAATCAATTATGAATTTTTATTTGACTTCTGACAAAAAATATTTCATGAAGTTGCTGAAATGCTTTTTATAATTCAATATTTAATCATCACATCATAACCTAAACCTAACTTAACCTAAATAATGTAGTTAAAATAAATCATTACTTATGTACAATAATTGTAGAACCAAACAATTGAAAGATTTATAATTTTCTATTTGTGTGAAAAATTGAATTACAAATGAATGCTAAATAAAAATAAAACAATTGAGACAAAACTATAAAGAGTTAAATACAATTATTAACACTATTCCATTGATCCATTTTTAAAGTCAAGAATAAAACATTACAAAAGAAGAAAAGTTTTACTCAAATTATTATAATTTAACGATCAATATATTAAAGGTATTTTTGATGGACACAAAATTGAACACATTGGACAACATACAAAAAAATATTTAATAAATTTCAATATGTGTAAACTGCAAAAAAATATAAGAAAAATAAAAATACAATTTTATTTTATATTACATTAAATTGCAAATATTTTTCACATTATTATTGGTTCCTAATTTGGACAAAAGTTTTTATTAAAATTTCCAATATTTTTTGTATGATTTTCAACTTATTCAAACTGCTTTACTATATAAGTGATTATATAATATTATTAAAATAAACTACCAGATATAATGAGACAGTAATAATATAAGATATATATATATCTCATTTAAAATAATTACGTTCATTTATATAACGATCGTTTCGAGTAAGTAAACTTTTCCTCAAATGGGCAAAGTTTTCTTTAGATAATAAGAAAAAAAATCTGAACTTGAAACTCGAGGTTTCTTTCCACATCTCATTTAACGTTCAGTTTCATGTAATAATATTATTACTACCTAAAATTATTTTTTTACTATTATTACTATAACAACGGCAATTAATTACGTTTTATTATACACTTATAAATTTCCTCTTTCCTAATTAAACTCGGAAAACATATTTACGAGAATCGTTGGATCAACGAATCGTCAAGAGGCGGAATGTGAGATTTTAATTAAAATTTGAATAAAAATTAATTAAACTAGCCACCGTTAATGGCTTCAGATGAAATATGCGCAAATTTTCTAGTCGACGCTTCAAGGTGGAAAAAAAAAGAAAATGGGAAAAAAAAATAAAAATAGTACGTAGGAACAGAATGAAATAAAGGAGAAGTGGAGAAATAGGATTTTCGCGAAAGCATAAATTCGTTCCGCAATATTTCATGCATTCTGTTCTGGCCGATTTCTTCCGCAATAAAATTTATGGATAATAAAGCTGCACGATATAATTTATCGCCCATCGGGAACGACGATTCAATACTGTATAGTTGGAGGTGGATGAGGAAAGAAAAAGAACATCTACCAGATGATACTAATATATTATTTTTTCTCGGTTAATCATAAATAACAACATTAAATATTTTTTGATGATTTATTACCTTTGATAGCGCAGATATATTTATCAACAGATTTATTTTCAATAAATTTCATTCAAATTTATTACTAATATATTATCAATATATTTTTGTCAGTTTCTTGTTAAATTTATAGTAAAAACCTTTGTGGCAATATTTTAAGTTGATTGGAATACAAACATTCTAGAATGGATAGTAGATTATTTTAAATACTGGAAAATTTCGAGTATAATACGTACAGTTTTACACATTTTAATTCAAAAAAAATCTCCAGTATAATGTGCACAATTTCTAATAATTTCAACCTGTAATTATCAAAGGTGCATTAGATTATTATAAATACTGTAAAATTCGATAAACTTTAAACTGTAAAATACTTTCAATGCACAATTCAACGCACAATTTGTATCAATTTTAACGAAAATGTGTTGGTTTTACAAATTAAACATGAATTTACTGCTAAGTCATATATAAATTATGTTATAATATACACAATACATATTTAAATATTAAATAATACGAAAATTGTAACATATACTGAGGATATGAGCTTCGAATGAGAATTCAACATGGCTCAAGGAAACTCAAATTAGACCGAAACTATATCACTGTGTATTCATTTTATTTTGAAGTCTGTTTAAAGTAATTCAGTTATAAGTATATAAACTTTAAATAAATATCATTTCCTAATAAAAGATAATAAATTTAAATATATATGTATATATATATATAAATTTATATATCATAAGTTGTAATAATTGAAACTTTAGAAGAAAGAATTAATTAATTTTATTTGGAAAATAAAGAATAGATTTATATTTCTAATTATTTTGAAGTTAATTAAGTTGCAACCACTACGCTGCACTTGTCATTAATTATGCAGTCTGAATAAGACTATAAATCATAAATAGAACTATAATAATTTATCGACAATCGTTGTGACAATTGATGAGATAACTCATAACACAATTAATGATTCACTAAAGGATATTAACAATATGCCTTCCTCTTTAGTTTCTATATAGTCACTAATTATGTTATTTTTAAAAGAAATTATGGAAGAAAATTATATCCTCAAAGTTTGGGAAAAAAGTTGTGCAAACAATGTGCTAGTTATTTAAAGAACAATGGTTAAACGTTCGTGTTACTGATTCAATTAACTACATTAATAAAGAAATGTGAACTAATTACTTTCATAAATCAGTACTGGAATGCGTTTATGCAAAGATGTTTCTCTAATTGGAATTAGATTTAATATGACGATGAAAGGAGCTTATCGCTTCGTGCGATTTTTTTTTAAATTTTGGTAAGTTCCTCAAATTTGAATACTTAAAAGGGAATAAGTTTTAATTGGGGTCGTTTATAATCTCTGGATGATACGCGACGTGGAAGGGTCGCGAGATTTAGGTCGTTTGGGGGATAAATGTATGTATGTATGATAACGATCTTTCAGCTTCGTGCTGTCTATCGGAGTCTCCCATTCTACACCTCCTCATCCTCCTCCACCTCCATGTGTTTGGACATGTGTGGGCGGGTGGCCGTGTTAGAATATGCATGCAAAAGGTCCGATGATTTACGAGCAGCACGTTTGGCACGGGATAACAACGGCACAAAAGGTTTTCATTCCGAACAGAACACACACACAATATGCAGATGTATTAGATTATCGTCACCAGATCATAAATTATACTTTATATTGTCCGTACAGGTGATCTCGGAATACTGCAGACGCAGGCAGCAGAACCGGCCGTTCTCTCACATAATCATGGATCTTCATCAGGAAGCGCTGGCCTCGCTGGAGGAGGCGGCTTGGGGTCCGCCGGCGATGCCAGAACTTCGACCTCTAACCAGAAACAGGTTCACCGAATTTAATTATCAATTAGACGTTCGATATTTAATTATCGTGTTATTTGCAGTTCGGATCTGAATAATACAGGAGCCCCCAGACGATGGATGAACTTGCGATCACCCACTGCCCACAAACTGACTCGAGAAGCAAGCACCAGCATGGAGAACCTCTCGAGCCCCGCCGCATGCACAACCATCGTGAAACAGAGGCCGAAATCTGTTTGCGTTCCCGACGGATTACCGTTCGATTTCCAGGACCCCAGTTTCAATTTGCCGACACCTACTAAATATGGAAAGGGGGGGCTTGGAAGGAGGCCGAGGATGCGACGGAATCCGGTCCAAAGGGCCGCTTCGAGACTGTACAGGGCCGAAGCTCCGAAGATCCAGAGCAACTCAAGGGATTGCGTGGGGCCCGAGTTCGTGGTGCGAGCAGCTCTACCCAAGAAGGAGTTCGTAATGGATGATATAAAGGGTAGTTGCCGAAGGAGCGTCACTGTGATACTATTGAACGGGCAAAAGGTCGACGTCGTTTGTAACCCAAATACAACGACGGCCGGTCAATTGTTCGAGGTAAATTGTTTAATCGAATTGGAAATGCTCACAACTTGCTAATTTGCGTTAATTGCAGTTTGTAATTCAAAAGGAGCACATCGAAGAAAACTTCATGCTTGGTCTGTCCGCTCTGATGGCAGGCGACTTTGTGTTCCTGCCATCGGACACGAGACTTTGCAAAGTAGCAACGATCAACTCGACGACGGCTTCAATGACCCTCTTCATGCGAGTGCGATTCTTCCTGCCGAGCTTGAGGGGAGTACGGGGATCTCAGGCGAGACATCTGTTGTACTTGCAATTGAGGCGTTCGATCCTCGAACATCAATTGCCCTGCACCTACGATCAGCTCGTCGAACTGAATGGCCTCGCCCTGCAGGCGGAATTCGGTGATTACAACGAAAGAGAACACGGCGCCAGGGATTACTTCCTGTTGGAACATTACGCACCGGAAACTGTTTGCGCCGACGATGATGGTTATTTACGCCGAGAGCTAATCAAAGCCCATCGCTTCAAATATGGATTGGATGCTGATAAAGCGGAAGAGGATTTCATTATACTCGCGCAGAACTTACCACACTACGGAGGACACTTTTACACCGCCATTTGGGTAAATATATTTTCCATCTTCTTTCATTTTATATTATATATACACAGAGACGGATGGTGAAAATAAAAAACAAGTGGGACAGAGACTAAAAACGTATCCTATTTCTAAATACTATATTATTTTGCATATACTGATATCGCTCATTTAACACGGTTTTCTTCTAAATCTATTCCAATCACATTCCATTCCATTTTATATATACATAAAGTAGGGTACTTACATAGATTGCCATATTAAATGGGTCATTTTACTTGCTAATAAAACATTATAATAACAAAGGACAAGTGTCTGCATCTTAGCTGTCACGTAAAGATGCGAATCTTAATATTTACTTGCATGCATTCTAAAGTATTTTCCGTTTCAGGTCCTTAAAGACGGCACACACCGAGACGTGTGGTTGTATGTGAGCGCCCAAGGGATCAACTTATACGAGAGACAGCTCTTGCGCAATTCCCAGCGCGGTCCGGTCCTTCAGGACAAGTTCGAGTGGAAGACAATACAAACTTTGTGCTACAGTAAACATTATTTATGCATACTGCCACACGCCGCAAAGATGCACCGATCTCAACTGAAAAAATACAAACTAAAGATGGACCACAAAAAGTAAAATTAATTATTAATCACGTTACGTATATTTTTTAATCTACGAATGTAATCATTTTCAGGAGTTATTTCACGTTTCGTTTGGCTTCGTTACATCATCAGTTCTTCTTGCGCCTTCGGACTGAGTTCACCAGTCTGAACACACTTTCGCAGCAGTTCGGAGTTGCCCTGAAAGACATGAAAAACGAGACCAATTCGCTGTACAAGCTTGAAACACTAACAGGTGGTACCATGCCTGAATTTCGGGTGGAGTTCCGTGAGTCTAACTCGAATTCTAGTTGCGATACTAGAGAGATGACGCAGATGAGACGATCAAAAAGCGTCAGCGATTTCGAGGGTATAGAAGAGTGCCAGAATAAGGAGAACGAAAACCCGGTGGGAAAGGATACTTTAGCGAAAAGACGAGGGGTTAAGATGGGAGTCAGGGCCTTTGGTAATAACAGAGTGTGCAGATCTATGGAAGCCGTGAATGTAATAGAAGATTCCGAGCAGAATTCGCTACAGTCGGTTTCGATTCATTGTAGTTCCACTTCAATCACTCCGGATAAAGTGTGCATTTTAGGTGAGTTTCTAGTGTTATTTTTTTATTTTTCGGTAATTTAATGTTTGCATTATTTATTCTTTTATTCAGAATCCAGCAATCAGTTTCTCCCGAACTTTCAAGAGACATTGAGCGATACTTTAATGGAGAAGTTGAATTGCATATCGTTCGCCGATGAGAGGTTGCTGAGGTCCGTTTCGATTGAGAAGGATTGCCGAGGGAGTTTGGGAATGCAAATCACGGAAGGATCTGATGGAAAAGTTTACGTGCAGTCGGTTTTGTTAGGGGGGCCGTCGTATATGGCTGGTTGCATACAATCAGGGGATCAAATCGTTGCCGTGGACGGCAAGAACTTGCTCAGTTTGAAGTACGATGATGCGCTGGCCCTTCTGAAGACCACAGGGAAAAGAGTCGAATTCATCTTGTCACAATTGCCGAAGAGCAAGGTCGATTTGAGAGAGCTGAACGAAACGCACGTGAAGAGCGTGCGTCTTGAAAGAACGATGGAGAAACTGAAGAGATTATCATGCGGGGAGAAGCATCTCACGGAGAGCTGCTATGATGCGTTTAATCACCAGAAACACGATGTTCCATACCAGAAGCACATTAGGTACAGCGAAAGCGAAAGCAAGTCTTGCTCGGACATCAACAGAGCTGTGATCGTCGACATGATTCCGAAGAAGGTGGACGAAGAGGAGGCAATTGCCATCGCGTTACCGAGGAGTTTGGGTTTGAGCAGGAAGTGGAGGGGTCCCGTCAAATATCCCGTGACTCCCATCAAGAGTGCGGTTGAAGATTGCGTTCAGAGCCTGTCAGATGACGAGCAGGTTTTCATTTAATTTATAGAAAAATAAAATAAACTGTCAATGCTCACGACACTTGCACAAAATGGGCTGTGAACGTGAATCTGAGAGGAGACGACGAATGGAAGAGGAATGCGAGTGTCCGGAGGAGGAAGTCCCCAAGAAACGGGGAGGATATAAACCTCCTTCAGGTGATTCTGACCCTCAACCACTCTTTCGGCTACCACATTTTCTCCAAGTGATTGGACCCAAGCACGTGAACGCAGCCAAAGGGTTTATACCAAGTATGCTCTTCTACGGTGTTGCCTCCTTAATAGGCATCATCTACATATGCGACTGGAAGACCGTTCTCCAGTACATGCCGTATTACAATGGCAAATATCCAACCAAGAAAGATGAGTAACGATTCGACCAACAAGAAAAAAAAAAACAGTTCTTTTTTCTTCATAATTTTCGATTTGATTTCTCCATGTAATTATTTGGACTCTAGTGCTTCCGTAGTATAAATGTCAAGTGCCGATAAATTGCAAATATACCCAGAAAATATATTAATCGAGTAAATTTTGAATGACCCATATACATTTATATCAAGGGAAAACAAAAATAAATAGAAAAATTGATATATTTAAATCCGTTAACCAACAAAATTGAAAACTATTACAGGAAATTATGAATAATAATTAAAAAAAGAAACGGACAATACGAAATGTTACGATTAATATTGTTAAATTAAATAACGAATGTAAAGTCATTCAGTATTAAGGAGAAGTTGCCTCTAAAAATTCCAAGGTTTTATTTACTTCTATTTATACACTAATACCTATGTACACCATTTTTTTTAAGGTAAATAGCCTGGCGTGTTTTAAATTGCAAGGCCGCAGTTGCTGACGATCCTCTATTCACCATTTCGTTCCTCTGATTTCCAGTGCACGTCCGACTCCCAAAGCAGCTCAGTTTTTGTGTGTCTGTGTTTTTTTTTTCTCTCCATCCAACATAATTCACCGGCACCGCAAGAAAACAAAACCAAATATTCTCGCTGTTTCTCTCTAATAAATAAATTAAAAAATAAAGAATAAATAAACAAAACTTAAATATAAATACGAATAATTAAGGTAAATCCGCTTTATTTATTTTAAGTTTGTTAATTTAACACGCGTAACGAGTCTTAGATTAGTTGTGATTATACATAATCGACTGATGAGAAAGAAATATATATATATTATATAAATGTAGTAATATGAATGGATTGTTTCGTGAGAATAGAAGATTTTTTTTCTTTCAAATAGGTGTCTTTGTTGATGAGAAAAGGCCATTATTATTGTGTAAAATGTGTGCCTAAAGTAATTGATATTTTATAAATAATGTATACAAGTTGATTGATAATAAATAAATGATAATTAATTAATTAATTACATACATTTCGATTGAATTTGAACGGAACCAACAAACAAAAAAGTATGAAATAAATTAATAAGATTATGCGATGTCTGATAATTAGTTAGATTTGAATTTCCGTGTGCTCTTTGTATATATAAATAAAAGAAAACGCAGATGCGTGTAAGGGAAATATAATTGTTAGCTGTTAAGACTGTAACATGAATGTGTAATTTATTATGATTATGCATTGAAGACTAACGACAAGAAGAATTAAATGCAAGAACGGCATTGTTTTTTTTTTGTTGTTTTATGCAATTGTAATGATGATGCGTACTGCTTCTTGGAGAACAATAAACAAACTAAAGAGATTACGAAATCTGATATTTTAAATAAGTTTCTTTTACCTTCGTCCGTCCTTGAACTTTATTGCACTTAAATTGAATTACTTGTGTTTTAAAATCTTGTATTTTCATTTTTTCAGTGATTATGCTTAACCGGTTGTCAAGTTGTTGGAGTATCTCAAATATTGAAAGCAGGTATTTTATTTTTATTATTTATTTTCTTCTAATATTTCGACTTAAAAGTTGTTAAATATTACGTGAAATTGTAATTGTATGAAACAGTTATCAAATAACTTAACTATTCGATGATTGATGTAAGAATTTAGACATTTAGTTGAAGCAAATTGTTGTTAAGTTTTAAACAAATATATTTGTGCAATAAGGTTTAATTATAACATTTTATATTAAGAAAATATTTACTGTTATTAATTATGTTATCAACAATAAATACGTGTATAGAGAAAATCCTCATGTAACGCGATATTCACATAATCCGTTTTATTTACAAGGCAAAACAAAAAATTCGACTGCAACTTAACATTGTACTCTGCAGTTTACATAGAAATCAATCTCGTTTATATTTATGTATTTTCTTCCATTTTCTTCACTTAACGTGGTTTTCATATAACTCGATATAAATTAATCTAATTTCAAGTTTCCATATTACATCTAATCGCGTTCCTAAGCTATCAATACAATTTTTCCATTTTGTTAATTCCGGCAGCCAATAAGCCTGAAGAATTATTGGTGATAAAATCGCTAAAGTGGTATTTATAGCTTGTTGGAAATTACATATTTTTTTCCTGCAAGAAGTGATCCAATGCTAGGAAACAGTGATAGTCAGTTTTTGTAAGATCTGAGGATTTTGATGGGTAACAGAGATTTTCCAATTCCATTTCTTGTAGCTTAAGTAACGTTATTCGTGCGACTTGTTCAAGTATTGTCCTGCAAGAGGTTTTCTTTATTCATCAAACTTGACTGCTTATTTCATAGCTCCCTCGTCATTACGTCTATTTGGCTACAGTAGATAAAAGCAAACTTCTTAACATGCATAAACCATCTGTCCAGTTTCTTAACCTTACATATTTGTTTCTTATGATTTAATATTGTTGCAATAGTAACGTCAAACCTTATTGATAATTCACGCGTTCTTTAAGGTGAAACAGTTTCCACTGCAGCTTTCACGATGGAACTCATATTCGAATAATACGCGATTTTTTGAGTTATCCATGGTTTAGTCTGCAAAAGGCAATATTACATATAATTACTAAAACATGTCTGCAAGGCTGATAAAGTACCTTTACCATAAAAAAAACTAAGAATTGTTAAAGTAAAGTACCAGAGATATCGAATATCAAAGTTGGTACTTCTTTGATGGGATATATCATAAGAGGGTTGAGTGCAATTTGAAGTCATTCAAATTATTAATTTTGTAGTTGTAAGAATTTAAGTAAACATTCATGTTTGACTTAAAACTTTCTTGGTTCTTAAACCTGAAAATAAAACATAAACTTAGGTTTATAGGTTCACTACTTTAATTAATTAATATCTGCAGTTTCCTTGACATACAATGGAACCCAATGGAACCTCGCATAACGAGCAAAATGAATTGTAAGAAAAATGAGCGACGTTTCGCATAACGATTGCGCGCCTTCTACATCATTTTTAAAACTTGTGTATTTTTTAATATGTTTTACTATACGAGTAAATATCCGGAAATTTCCACTGTAGGTTCCACTGTATTTCTATAAATTGTAATACAACATTTTAAATAACATTGTTGTTAAAAAAGAATGTTTCAGTTTCAGGACTTCATTCAATATATAGCAAGATTTCGTTTAGTATTTTATTATATCTTTCTAGACGAAAACACTAAACGGAACAGCGTTTAAGGAAGTCACATTAGCATATAACAAATTGGTTACTTTAATACTGTAAATAGGTAAATTTACCTATGGTCAATAGGCATTTGTAGCAGTTAACTTTTTATTGCTATTGTATGAAAAGATTTTTTTATATTGTCGGAAAAAGATTGTTATTATTAGGCAAATTTAGAACATTTGTAATCATCCTGTGATGACGAATCAGTTATAATCTAGAAAGTACTAAACGAGGTCTTACTGTAAACATTTTTGAGTCGAAAAATGAAAATGATTATACCAACTTACTAATCTTGTTTATAGTATCATTCTTATAAGTAACAAAGAAAAATCTCTCCTCTCATTATTTTTGATTTATGACTTTTAATTTAAGATCATATTTGAAGACTTTTCTGAGGAATTAGTATATTTCTTTAATTTTGATAATAGTAGTAAATTAACTTTTAAACCAAGTATTTCACCTAAAAAGAGTTATTTTTTTATTATCATATATAAATGATTAAATAAATTATAATTATTATTTTTGTTTTTGTTTGTAATTTAAATGGATTACACTTAATTGTATCTAATAAACAATATTTCCTTCGCTTATAGGTACTGATATATGCAACTCTTTATACAGTATAACATATAGCCTAACTTAACACTTAGTTTTTCAATATTTTCAAGATAAACGGATTAAATTTCACCGGATTAAATTAAAGAACACATAATTGTACATTTTTTAATACTTTTTATATAGATAGCATCAAATTAAATCTAATTTTACATATATAAACAACAGATTTCCTACTAACCCTAATTCAGTTTTTCCCCAAATACTATATAGCTCAATAACGTTCTGTTTGTTTAAACTCTGTAAACAAACTATATAGCTTTTTTTATAGAGCTTTCTCAATTTAATGTCGATAAACCGTTTACTCGTATACTTTTAAATAGGTGTGCATTGGCGTTCGTTCCATAACGTAATAAATTTTGCATTTTCCAGTCACATTCTTTTTTTTACCATTTTATATTATGGATACCATATGGTATGTATAGCGCTGGCTTTCTGTTCTTTAAAACTATTAACGTAGCTTGGACTCCGTTGCAGGAATTATAATATATTCACTTCTATTCATTAAAGTTACGTTTCAAATGAGAAAAAAATGGATAATATTGCAGTGGAATGAAAAATGCATATGGAAAATAATGCGATTCAGATTCCATTTCATATTAGCATAATATCAAAAGAGGTCCAATAAATTGTATACTGGTATTTAGAAATTGTGTTACGACATTATACATATTTGAATGATCATAGAATATATGCATGAATTTATATATGAAAATTACAATATTTTCTGAAATATTTATTGCTTAGTTTGTGATTAAGTTTAATGGACAAGTAAATCAATTATTGGACAATTTACTTAACTAAATATTATTTCAGCATTTTTATTAATATTTGTACTGCAATCTTAGAACACTATCTAAAAATGTTAAGGAATTATTTTTAAACAAATTACGTTTTGATGCAGTATTTATTGATAGAAGATAAGCAAATAGAACAACTACTAAAAATAACAGTAATTTTCAGTTGCCGGTAAACATGCTGGGTAAACATTAATCTTCCGGGTGTTATGATTTTTGGCGCCAAATTTAAGAGCAAATTTAGTAAAGCAACATTTGTGAACTTGTTGGCTTCCGTACAAATATGAAAGTATACGTTTGAGGAAAACACACCAAAATAGTTAGTAATTAATTATCATACATTTATTTTTGTTATATATATGATGGTCCATTAACAATTACTATTTATGGAATTAGTGATGTTTTTGTTTATATCAAAATGATTTTTTCCCCTTATTTTCAGGCCATCTATCTCACATGAGATAATGAACTGGACTGGTGACAATTAAAACAAACGAAATAAAAAAAAGTCAAGGGATTGGTGCAGTAACCAACCTTAACATATTGACTTTAAAGGCACACGCACAATCAAGCCAC